CGGTAGCACTTCCATGCTCGGCAGATGCGGCTCGTGATCTCCCGGTCGACCTTCCCATCCGCGCAGATGGTACGTCCGAGGTACACAAACCGATCTGTCTGCTTGTACGTCTGGCCAGCGGCGCTGACCGCGAACGGGCGTTCCCCCAGCCCTTTCGGTAGCATGCACATGATCTCCGTCTTTGGCTCCGATACCATCAGTCCGAACAGGCCGGCCACGCGCACGATGATGGACATCATCTTTTCGAGGCTCTCCGGCGTGAGCGAGACGATGGCCGCGTCGTCAGCGTAGAGCATGTCCCACAGGGCCTCTGCGACCGTCACCATCATCGCCTTCTTCCCCGCCGACCTGCCCCTCTTGCCCATGCACTCCACTCGTGTTGCGATCTTGATCATATCCGCCGTCACCTTGGGGTCCAGTAACGGCAGTTGGAAGTATTTCCCGACGTGTTCCCTAGGATTTTCAGCCATTGCATTTCTACGTGGGCAGTCTTGGGCCAACAAGTTATGTTTTCATGCCCGCTTGCACAGCATACCAGAAATACGAGAAAAAGGCGAAACTGGGTTAGCGTCAGAACTCACATTTTAGTCGATGGAATCGCGCCCTGGACTGTGGAAGTACTTGTTCAGCAGGTATGTTGAGGTCCCCAGTAGGTTGCACCGCCACTGCCGCTTGCTCTCGCGTACCAGACCACAGGCCGATTCGCCAGATGTGGGACACGCATGCATCATATGGACTACACGCCGAATGGCCGGGGTGGGGTAGAAGGTTAGGGTGTGACGCATCTTGAACTCGGCCAACCCTGTTGTGTGATGGAGCTGCAAGTTATTACCCACTCCGGCGGTCACGTACTCAGACACGGCCATCCAGATGGTGTATTCCCCTTCAGGGAGAACGTTGCTTTCGTCGTCTCGCCGCCAAGGGTTGCCCTGGTGCTCAAAGAAGAAGGCGACCTTGCCCAAAGTCGTTTGCTCTAGTCCATATCGTCCTTCCCGCTGATCATTGGCCGTGAGATAAATCTCCACGTCACTGCCCCTTGATGCAGTGGACCGCGTCCACCCAGAATGACGACCCGCGTCCTTCACCGGGCACCCTCGGACGGTTCCCGTACCTGCATTTGCTTCCCCCGGTGCACCGCCCCAGTGGTTGAAAACCTCCACGCTATCATGCACAAGACCGTCTTTGTAGGTCCTGTTTCTCCAGCAGTACGAGCACGTCCGCGTGTTGCATGGCGCCTCTCCGTCAATCCGCCCGCACCCAAAATAATCGGCGTAGTGTTGGTCAAGCTCCTGCGGCGACGGGAGCATTTTGAACACCTCCTCCTGCCATGTCTGAAGTTCGATGCCCGCGTCCACGCCCTTGAGGTCGGCCGTCCACTGCTGATACCCGTGAGGCCGCCCTCCTTGACGCCCGGTGGTCGTGCCGTCTTCCACCGAAGCTGGGCTCAGTTGCATCGCCGGCAAGAAGGCGAAAACGTCCTGGAGGACTTCCCGACAGAGCGGTCCAGCTGTCACCTCCTTTCGCATCTCCTTTCCGTTCTCGAAACCACACGCATCCCAGGTGACGCTGTCGGACAGTGACTTCAGAGCTTGGTTGTCGTTCCAGTTCTTGATGATGTGTACCTCGTTGTTCCCAGCCCGAAGACATGCGTCACGTCGTGACTTCTTGAGGTCCTTGTGGTTGGATTCGCCCGCGTTTGTGTTCCCCACTGCACCTGTTCTTGAGAACGACAAAGAAGGGCGGCAGCGTAGGAGACATCCGCAGGGAGTTGGGTTAGGGTTGGAACATGATCTGAATTGGACCATAGGGTAAGGAGGGCGAGCCCCCGGCGGCCAGGCGAAATCAGTTGGTTCGTCCATGCTGACGCGCAGGTGCACTACGCCGGTGGCCACCCTAAGGCGCGAAACTCACCGAGGTTTCGGATATCATCAGCGATGTGTAAGCCCTTGTGGATGGAGTTAAGCGCCAGTCCCGCCACGCGCGATGCTTGTTTGACCTGGGTAATGGTTCGAAGCGCATTCATCACCATAAACTTACAAACATGTTGCTTGCACAGCAGCATCGCCGAACACGCGTGCCCGGCCACAAAACAGTGAAGCATGGTGTGGGGCGACCGAGGCACGAAAGAGATTTGCCTATATTCTGCGCGTATTTGAGTTATGGTTTTGTTCAATAGACTCCCTTGAGGAGTGATCTCGGGGCTACAGTGCCGGAAAGTGCAAGGCCGATTGTAGGGGTCCGGACAACAACAAAAATCCTACACCAAACAGTTGCGAGCGAAACCAAAAATCACCGTGCGAAAGCTCTCGTCAGCAGCGTTCGAATAAGCGCATCGGAAGCGATTGATTCGTGTTTTGAAAAAAATACGGCCCTATTACCACTACCGCGGAAGGCACTGCACCGCACCAAAACCGCCATGTCTCAACAGATACAGCAAACCCACAGCAAAATGTGGTACTTTTTGGAAAGCCTCCTTTCACAACTATTTAACTGCGGTGGGATGATTCACGAGCGCCGTGGTGTGCACTGCAGCTAAAAATCAAATCATGGAGAGGAAAAAAAAAACATTTCCATCATTTTCGCCTCGCTTTTTTCCCGGGCGGCAACATGCCACGATTAACTCAAGGTGTAACATCAATTACGGGAAAATGTTCGTCGACGTTGCAGGTATAAAATTATAAATGTTCCCGACTCGGTTTCTGTTTTATGACTCCAATTGATAATTCATGTATTTTTCCAAAATGTTTCTCTTGAAAACATGTACAGTAGTGGGCCCCCTATAGTGCACTTTTAATAGTGCAACCGCCCGATATAGTGCAGGTCAAATCTCTGCGCACAGACGGCGCCCTCAATAGTGCAGGATTTTTACCTCTGTCAACAACTCGTGACTGTTGCTGTAGACCGACACTTTCAGCAGTTTCCTACCTATGCAATTGTATCGTTTTTTTGTTTGTTCAACACGCCGCCGCCATGAAAGACGTACGCGTGCAAGCCCTTTGTCGTGGTGTCGGTCGGGGCCGCAATCGACCTAGTCAGTCCCTCGCGGGCGAACCAGGCCACAACAGATAGTAGGCGGGTGGTGTCCCAAGGTTCAACTCACCGCCGCGCTGGCTCAGCGTGGCGGTGAGGATGCACGGACGGTGGAAGTGGCGAGAGGTGTGTATGGACACTGTTCCCGCGGCAGTAGTGCAAAGCGGCAAACTGCACCTGGCAACCACCGTCGCGGAAAGCGTGGCCCACGAAGCTGGAGGAGCAGAGAGATTCGTAAACACCACGTCAGTAAGCACCGCTCGCGGGAGAAGGGAGACAACCGCGGGCACCGCGGGGAGGGAGTGCTGCACCCTCCTCGCCAAAACACCACAGGCAAAAACCGAGCTCTGCAGGGATGGATTGATGCGAGGAAACTCGCCGCTCGGAAAATACGGAAGAAAGGACACCGGCAACGCGAGGTGGACCGAGAGAGACACGAGACCGCAGCGGCCGTCAAGGCGGCTGCGAAGAAGAAGGCACGAGAGGGCGACCTATCGTTCGGCACGTTCAACGT